ACACATTATGTAGTGGAATACAATGCAGTGTATGTAGGGATTTTATTGCACAAGAGCCATCATCCCTTACATCCTATTCCACTCCTTTCTGTGAAATGTGAAAACTATAAATTTATCATCAAATTTATGGATTTCAAATAACTACACTAAAAAGCATGGGATGGAGAAAATACTTGACTCTTGAGGATTTTTGCTCTCTCATGCTGCATATAGCTAGATTCACGATTACTAAGATGTTTTTAATAGGCCTATAGTCTGTTTCAGTTTTTCCAAAGGGTAAAAATGTCCTCTTTGAAGTAAAGTATTCACCTATCTGATATAAATAAAACCTTTCATGTAGAAAAATGTTTTCCCAAATGGAAGAGTTAATGCACCTCAAATATGTGAGAAATTTGCTTCCAATTGTGCAATCTTTAGTAAAGATTCCATCTTACCTTTTCATTATAAAATTTGGGGAAAATATCAGTGAAATCTAACATATCACTTTATAAGTCAATGCTAGAAAGCAACTCATTCTCTGGCTTCAATGACAACTAAGATAGCTTTTAAACAATCTTTTTGAAAACGTTTCCTTGATTTTGGCCTTCAATCAGTGGAAGTGGCTTTCTACCGATAGAACTGTTTGACATTCACAAATCTTGCATCTTGGCTGAGCTGGCAAATGGTTCCTTGCTGAGAAAAAGCTGCTACCCTAACTTAGGTATCATGAAGTGTACCTCCAACAGATGTCAATATAAACTTTTCCCCAATGCAACATAAGACCATAAACTTCTAGGACTAATCTAGGATCATCGTTAACTCCAGTGGCTCCCTATTACCTGCATGTTAGCATAACTCAACATGCTTTCTCCGCTGCTCTCTGCCTGCCCCAGTGCATTGTTCCTGTATTGCCCAATCTGTCTTTGGATAAGCTGGTCCCTCTCCTAAAAAATGCCCTTCCTTTCTCCACTTTCCTGTCATACTCCTGTTCAGATGTGACTACTTAGTGGACTCTCTCTAGACTTCCAGAAAAATTAATGTTTCTTTCCCCTCTCTGTTTTCCTAACAGATACAAGTTGAGCATCTTAAATCTGAAAATCTGAAATTCTCCAAAATCTGGGATTTTTTTGAGTGCTGACATAACACTCAAAGGAAATGCTCATTGGAACATTTCATATTTTCATATTTCAAATGCTTAAGTATTTATAATGTAAATATTCTAAAATCCAAAAAAAATATGAAATCTGAAAAACTTCTGGTCCCAACATTTCAGATAAGGGATACTCAAACTGTACTGCCATTACAACACTAATGACATGGTAATTAGCACCTCCGAGAGGCAATGTCTTGTAGTGTCTAAAGGTGAGGAGTTGGAAGACAGAATTTGAATCCTGGCTCTGTCACTTACTAGCTATGTGATCTTGGGCAAGTCACTTTAACCTCCAGGAGCCTCAGTTGTCTCATCTATAAATAACAATAGTACCCACATTACAGGCTTAGTGTGAAGAATAAATGATTCTAGCACAGTGTCTATCACATAACGAAGACTTGACATCTTAGCATTACTATTACATGGGTGAAGGAAGAGCCCAAAGATGGCAGATAAACGTATTGTGCTCTCATAATTTGAAGAGTTAACACTTAGATTAAGTGTAGCCATCTTGAATCCTGTGGTAATTTCTTTTAAGAAAACGCCTGAGGACCTATTAAACAGTGGCAAACAAATAGAAAGCTCACATACTCCTTCACAAGTGTGGATGGGGCTGGTTTTAGGGTAGCTCATCTTTGGTTGTGATGCATGACCCCTGAAAAGAAATTGGATAGTGCACAAAACCAAGGATGGAAAGCAACAGGGAGACACGCCATATTTTGTCTGCAAAGAGATTCTGTCCAGTAGTGTGGAGACTTCCAGTACAACTTGTTGCAAAGTGGAGAACAACCCAGTGTCAGCTTAGATGAAAAAACTTAAAATTGAGAGTTCACCTTATTTAAAACCTCTTTCTATTATTTTTCATATAAAATGTAAAATAAGGGAAAGGAAAAACAGAGTTATGGAATTCATTTCTTTCCAAGGGAGAAAATAAAAAACAAATTACAACTATTAATATTACCAGATGAACACCTTGTGCAAAATAAAATCATAGATTTAATGTATTGCAAAGTGCCATTTGAAGAGCCTTCTTGGCTGACAAAAACATTTGAATTTTATTTCTTTAAATGGATATAACTATTCCCATGTGCATATGTCTCAGACCAGAAAACTTTCTGGGTGCTCCTCCTGACCAACTCGAAGAGAAAATTCAGTTATTTTTGCTTGTTTTTAAGCAAATCAAAAGCCAACTGAGGGTAACAAATGATCATTTACACTCCCTGCATGATGTATGACCAAAAAGTGAAGAGAGAAAAACCTGCCTTTGCATTCACAGAAAAGAAATTTAGTAAAGTGGCTTTTTAAAATTCATATTCCTATGTTCAACTGGGCTGGGTTTTAAAAATTCTTGGATCAGCTTTTCACCTTGTAGAAAAGCAAGGTAGCAATTTTTCTTAAGGAATTGGCAATGATGTGCTCAAGTGCTCGGCCTTCACTTCTGGCAGAAAGAGATTGGAGGGGGTGGGCAGGAGCCAGGAGTGACTAGGAGAGGGGACTGCTCAGAATCTGCCATTCAAGGCTGGTGGCAGCTTTTAGAGGCTGCTAATAGGAGTGTGGTGGTAGCAACTTACGGGTGTGCCAAAGAAAATGGGTCCATACACCAAACTCTGGCACGTGCAGCACCCACAGTTTGCCAGGGCATGGCAAAGGCCCAGACAGACTTTTGATGTCCTGCCCCAGAAAATAAGCAAGCCCATTCCCACTTATTCTACGAGGATGGCAAGATGTTTTGATGTTATGAAAACCCCTGGTACAGAAATTTGCCATTTGGCTTACTTTCATTTAGTCATTTTTCAGATTAGAAAAGACAGAAGGAAGAGGATTAGGAGTTTAATATTGATAGCTATTGTTATTAGGTCATGCAAGAAGTTGCAGAGTGACAGTCCTTTCTAGGCTAAGCAAGTAATGCCATCTGGGCAAATTTAGGTCCTATGGTAATGAATGAATTTTATAAAATAGGACACTTTTTTGTTATTCCATATAAAAGAATTCCTGCAAAGTTCTGGAGGACAGAACCTAATGTATGCTTCATTGTAACCCTTTTTCCATTCTATTCTCTCTTCTAAACTATAAACAATTGCCAAAAGTTCAGCTTAAAAAGTGGGCCATACAATTTCAGATTTAAACTTCTTAAATTTTCAATGAGCTGGGTGAAAAATTTCCCCTCCATTTCTTTTCTTTTCTTTCTTTTTTTTTTTTTGAGTCAGAGTCTCACTCTGTTGCCCGGGCTAGAATTCCATGGCTTCACAAGTTGAGGTTGCTCACAGCAACCTCAAACTCCTGGGCTCAAGCAATCCTGGGATTACAGACATGAGCCACCATGCCCGGCTAATTGATATATATATATATATATATATTAGTTGTCTAGCTAATTTCTTTCTATTTTTTTAGTAGAGATGGGGGTCTCACTCTTGCATAGGCTGGTTTTGAACTCCTGACCTTGAGCCATCCTCCCTTCTCAGCCTCCCAGAGTGCTAGGATTACAGGCGTGAGCCACCACGCCCAGCCCCCTCTATTTCTTTTTACTGCTTCTACTTCCAAACCCCCAGCATAAGACTCCTGGTCCTACACAATTTATCCAAAGCTTTGGGCAGCCCAAGAGCTCTTTCATCCCCCACGAGTGAATTCATACAATTATAAGAGAGAGACATTCTTTCCTTCTCTTTTCACTTAAAAAAACATACCAAACCTGAATAGACTCCAGGCTAGACTAGGGGAGGGACTGATTTTTATTGGATCTGACATAGCTATTGACAAATGCTTGAAGACAATATTTTAAAAAAGAGGAAGAAAGAAAAGGCTTTCACTTTATGCCTTAGAGGACAGATTGGTTACAATTTAATATCTAAGAGGAAAATTTTACAGAATAAAATAGCCTAACATTTCTCTTTCCTCACTGTACATATGAGAAATATAAACTAAAGGGACATCTGGAAAAGAACACTATTCAGCAATCAGAAAGTAAAATTCAAACCATTGATGTTTTGATGGAGACAAACATAACTAGATTCACAAAGAGGAAGCTGCAACCTATTGAAGTTAAAAAAAAAAATCATATGCATTTTACCTTTTGGGCAGTTCTATAGCAAAGTTTTATTTCAGAAGCCCTTTGTAATATGAAACCTACTGTAGATAAGATACAACATGCAGATAGTCTGCTTTGCAGCAGCAGGAAATCAAATTGGTTCCAGAAACAAAGTTATATGACAAATGGTTTAATAGTATTGCAAGAATTAGAAAGCTTCATTGAATTATTTTTATAATCATTAAAAAAAAAGAGATTTTGAAACAACTTTGTCTTATCACAGATGCAGGGAGGGGACCCGGGCAGTGCCGCTGAGGTTGGGAGGCATCTCATTTTATTGGTCTTTTAACTAAAGTATTATAATTTGTTATCAAAATTTAAGAGCACGGTGGTGATTTATTGTTAACTTTTGTTTGCAACAAAGATTTTCACACATATAATATTTGATTTAACATAACAGAGATATGTTGTGGAGTATTAAACAGGCTAACAAAGTAGATACATTTTATTGTCATTTTCAAGTCATTTTTAGTTTCAATCTAAGTACCAGTCAGCCTTGCTTTATTTAAAAAGCATCTGAAAAAGTTCATTAAGTTTTAGATTTTAGAAGGAGAGACTTCTAAACAGCGAGATGCATTACTGACAAAATAACCCAGCGCCTAACTAATGCCTGTAGGTGAAATGAAATCATTCTTCTGACTGAAGTCAGGAACAAGTTAAATAACACTTAGACCACAGCACACGACTACAGAGATTTAGGAGAAATCGTACTTAAATAGGATGTGACTAGACGTTTAGGACTATTTTCTAAAAAGTCAAAAAACTTCTTTCCCCTTCAGTACTTACAGTCTTTGAAGACTAGAGCCGGGTCTCTGTTTGGCAAGACTTGGGCAATGATGTGTCTCAGAGATTCCAAGGTTCTGTCCATCTTGGGTCTGCCTGTGTGAGCCTCCTGCACAGAGCGTCCTCATGCCTGAATTCTTGCAGTCCTGGACTGAATTTGTGCAGCTCATTGATGCACTGGATTACCAAAGAATCCCTTTTAACATCTGCCAATCAGACATTTCCCAGAATCTAAAGACCCCTCAGGGGGCCCTCTTCCCAGGCTCACTTATCTTTGTTGTAGGCTGAGCTAATTAGCTCGAAAGGCCGGCTGACAGGCGGGTTCCCATTGCTTCCTTCTGTTAAACACACCCACCTACAGGCTAGCTGGGGAAGCTCGCTAATCAAAGAAACAGCTTTCCTCTCCAACCAGATTTTGCCTGAATGCTGTGCAGCTTTCTGACTTGGATAAGTATTTCTTTTAGCTCTCCATGTTCAATTGAGTTGTCCTCAAAATATGGAATCAAGAAGGTTATTTCCCAGGGAAATTTCCTAAACAACAAGGGAGCTTCCAGCTCAGGACTGCCAGCCACATTTTGTAAGGACAATCAGTATAAATCTAAAATTTCAATGTAATTCTCCTTTGCTAAGGGAGATTGCTACAGATTGTGGAAGTAGCCAGTCACCATATTATGCTTTGTATTTGAATTCAGGAGCAATTTTTCTGGAAGCCAAGGTTTGTTTATTTTCCTCTACCGAAATTATAGTCACTTTTGTTGGGCAGTGGCAAGTAAAACCTGCTGGACTGTCGTACAGCTTGCCTAGGAACATTTGTTTCTCTATTTACTCTTTAAGGCAAATCAGTCCCAAGATTGACTTTAATTAATTCCCTATTCATTCACTTATTTTCATTTCACAATAACTCTTTCTATTAAACATTTCAGAACAAGAAAAAATATTTTTTCAAAAAAATAGGTAGTTATTAAAAGATCTTAAGAAAACAGAGATTCTTTTTCTACCTATGTATGTTCTACACTACCCATAACAATTTGTTAAATAATCTTTCCACAAGAGACACAAATACAAGTCATGGGACTCCTTTGCAATAATAAGAATTTACAAACCAGATATAAAATAACTCAGGCTGTAACCTAAGTTAGTTGTTGAAAGGTTATTGAGGACTTTTTAACTTTTATTTAAAATATTTTTCCAGGGTAGGCACAAGAGATTGCTTTCCAGTGTTTCTTCCAATTTTTGGATTCCATAATTAGGTTGTATTTTATGATGCACTGAAACAAGCATTTTAAAGACTATGTAAAACCAAAATGCCTTCCATGTGATCAGCTTCTTCAGCTAGTTGGTAGAAGAGTGGGCTTAATAAAAGGAAACAGAAGGAATGGAGCTGTAATAACAATTCTTGTTATAATGACTATCACTTAGCAAATGCCTGCAGGAAGTATATGCCACACAGAAAATAGACATGGGCCTGCCCCAGAGCACAGAGACATTCACATAAAATAACTCGAAAGAAGTAGCACTTCATATTAAAACACTTCTTTAAATGGGGTCCCAAAGCACACTTAACAAGGCCTGTACCAAATAGAAAATTGTCAACATCCTTGCTCTCCAGGAGCTTAAAATTTAAAACAGAAACTAGATGGCTTGTGGAAAGAAACTATCATTAATTGATTGAACATGAAGTATAAATGAATGCAAGTACTTTAAGTGTGATATTGAATTGGAAACCACGATATTTAATGTTCCCATTAGAGAACCAGGAAAAATAATATGGGCTTCTCAAAGAAGTAAAACTGATGATATAAAAATATAAAAATAAGAAATGCTTGGATTTCAATCAATAAATGGTCATTTCTATGGGCTTAAATTTAATTCCAGCAGTATTTAAAATATTTTGGTTGTATTGTGGTGGAAGGAACACTGAATTTGGGATCAATAAGACCTAGGGTTTGATGTTCATTATCCATGTAACCTTGAAGAAGAGATTCATCTTCTTTGCTCAGAGTCTTTACTTATAAAATTAAAGGACTAAGCACCATCTATGATTCTGTGGCTATATTACAAATGAGCACAAACATCATCACAGATATTTTAGACATCTGTAAGTTCACATATTTATTTCCTAAAAGCTGAACTTGTCTTCGAACAAATCACTTCTGTTCTCACAGTCAACCTGATGGATATCCATTCATCAATATGAGAGACACAAATCAATATGACGAATTCAAAGATGCTCACTGCTAATGCTAACTACAATGAAAGGTAAGAATTTGCTAAGACAACTGATCTTCAGTTCCCATGAGATTTTTCTAAAGAATGCAAACTCCATGAGCATCTTCATAGAGAACCGCAAAACAGCTTTTCAAAGATAAATTCAGGCCGGGCGCTGTGGCTCACACCTGTAATCCCAGCACTGTGGGAGGCAGAGGTGGGCACGGATTGCTCAAGGTCAGGAGTTTGAAACCAGCCTGAGCAAGAGTGAGACCCCACTTCTACTATACACATATAGAAAAAATGAGCCAGGCATGGTGGCGCATGCCTGTAGTCCCAGCTACTTGGGAGGCTGAGGCGGCAGGATTGCTTGAGCCCAGGAGTTTGAGGTTGCTGTGAGCTAGGCTAGGCTAATGCCACAGCACTCACTCTAGCCTGGGTGTCCCGGCCCGCGGGACCTTCTGTTACTCGTGGGAGTCAAGGGGGACCGTGCCTGAAAGAGATGGGCGAGAGAAAGGAACGAGACCAAGCAAAGGGTTGTCAAGGTCTACTTTACTTAGATTCTTAGTAGGTTTTATAAGCATACAGAAACAAGGAAATAGAAACAGAAAAATAGAGTGGGGTAACGATGAGGCTTGGGTTTGGGCTAATCAGCCCCAATCAGCGTCTTATCGGTATTGAAGCTGTTTGTGACTGATTACTCAACCCCAGCCTGGCAGGTGGTCGGGAATAATTGCAGTTAGCACACCCTGGAGCATTTCGAGGTCAGCATGGAACGCATTCTTTTTGGAGCTACAGCCGGAGGGTGGGGTGCTGTTTTTGTCCTAGGAATTTTCCAGGGCGAAGCTCATGCGTAGGACAAGTCATAGGGGTGTTGAGGGTTCCAGCTTCTAACATCTCCCCCTCTCTTTATTAATATGAGGGAGATTTATATAGGTTGGTGGAGAGCCTGTCTTAGGCTACGCGATGGGCTTCCGCGACCAGCACCCCAAATATAAGATCGGGCGATAAACGTGAAGGTGAGGCCTCTGTCTTAGGCTATGTAGGTGGCATCCAGCTCCGGCACTTCTGATTATGAAGTGTGCCCCCGGGCATGGACCTGCAATATTTCCATCATGGAGTCACCTCACCGTTGGCGGGGTGTGCATTTGGTACACGGCATCGCGATAATCCCGTCATGGGCGTCTCCACAGCTTTTGGAACCAACTGCGTTCCATGTCTGAGGCAAGGCCTGAGAAATTTAGACCTTTAGTGGGTGTATTGGGAGACTCTTCATGGAGGTCTTCTCTGGAGCCTCTTTGTTCTAGCCATTGGTAAAACACGGAGACCGATTTTTGTGTGGCTGCATCTACCTGTGACTTGACAAAATCAGTTAGTTTCTTGAATGCCCAAGGCCCAAAGGTGAGGAGCAACAGAAAACCTACAAGCGGCCCTAAGACACTGGGAAGCAATGTGGATAGCCAGGGGGATGTGGAAAACCAATTTTGATACCATGCTTCACTCTGTTCTCTCCGTTTTTTCCTATCTTCTAGGCTTTGTCTAACCCTTTCAATACTATCTTCTACCAGACCTGTTTTGTCTGCGTAGAAGCAACATTCTTCTTTAAGTGCTGCGCACAAACCTCTCTCTTGGAGGAACACTAAGTCTAAGCCTCTTCTATTTTGCAACACTACCTCAGAAAGCGAAGCGAGGGATTCTTTGAGATATTTTAGGCCCTGCTGTAGCTCTCGGAGATCATTATCGATGGCAGCAGAGAGCTGCAGGTTTTGCTGGTTGGAGGTGACTAGAGAGGCTATGCCTGTTCCAGCTCTTGTGGCACCAAGGCCTAGAACAACTGCGAGTGTTATGGCCGTGATGGGCTCCCTTTTTTCCCGGGGCATTGCGGTGCTGCGCTCCCAAAATCTGAGCAATTCGTCAGCAGGATGTATAGTGAGTCTGGGGAAGAGCATGACTAACACACAATATTCTCTATGCTCAAGAAACATTGCAGTGACTACATATGGGGTAAGGCTGGAAGAACAAGCAAAATAAGAGGTGTTAGATGCCTGAATATACTGAAAGGTGGAGTTGACAGTAATTGACTGATTGCATATTTTCTCTAAGGGTGTGGGGTGGGGGGGAGCATTCTTGGGCTAAGAAGGCAAAGGCCTAGGCCTGTGACTTGGCTGAGTGTCAGGCCATCATGGGTCTCTAGGTCCCATCTGAGTTTGCTGGTGTCCTTAGTAAATAATGGTTTACCAAATGTAGCTACACCCTCATAGAAGGGAGGCCGGGGGGAGTAGCATACCCAACACTCCTGATATTCTGAATTGTTGGCCTCTCAGATGGTTTTGACAGAGGCGTTGACTAAGGTGAGAATTAATTCTGCAGAGGAGGGGGGCCCCTCGGGCAGGGTAGGTTGGTATAGGGAGGTGCTAAGCGGAGAAGGGGACACAGCTGGGGAGGAGGGTAGGCCTCTGGTGGGGCCGCGAGGTCGTGGTGGGTGTAGGTTGTGGTTAGGACCTATTGCGACCGTAGGACCTTTGGGGAGGCTTTTAATTAATTTGATTTTAAATGTGAGACCAATGTCTTTTTTAGACATGTAAAGTCTGAGTCCCCATTCAAATCCCCTGGACTGATCCCAAGAAGCCTTTTTCCCAGCTTCGGTGAATGAAATTAACAGGGGGTTGCACCACTGGTTGTTACACTAAGGATCAGTGGGTGGTTGTGGGGCGTAAGGGGACGAAGGGGCTTGACGGGGAAACCGCTTTCTGACGGTGATATAATCCCAGGAAGAGGAGGGATTCCAGTAGGCATCACCAGTGGTCTCACAGCCCCAGGAGGCACAAAAGAAGTCAGGGGCGTAGCCACATTGGTAGTTGTTGGTACGAGGTCGATGGGCCCCCGGGCAAACATAAAAGTCTTTATATCTCGTCGTAGAGCATCCGGCTCCCCAGGAGCAAAGGCCTGGGGAGGAGTCAGCCGTTGGAGGAGCTGGCTGAGGGGCGAAAAGTGTGGGAAGGCCCCACGCAGGGTCTTTAGCCCCAAGAGCTAATACGCATAGGTCGACTTCTAATAGATCCCATGGTATAACGGCGGAGAAACGTGAGGAAGAATTAACAACGTCTCCTGCCTCATTAATTACCTGCCATGTATAGTTGTAGATCTGATGGATGTTGGTTGCGATAGTGCTC